TTTCATTAAAAATATATTTCTCGGGCTTGGGACCTCAGAATTTGATTCCGGCCATACGCCCAGGTCCCATAGTTTCCTACGGACCCTTCGGACCGTCAAATCACGGGTCCTGGTCCGTTTACCCAAAATATTAACCGAAGTCAGCTTAAATTTATTTTAAAGGCAAATTTTATCATTTTTCATATATTTTCACATAATGGCTTCCTGGCTACGCGCCCGGACTGCGCATATAAATCGAGGTGATATGGAAAGAAGTTTTTAAGGCCTCGGAACACAGAATTTATTTCTAAAACAAGCGATGACCTTTTGGGTCATCACATTCTCCACCTCTAAAGCAACCGTTCATCCTCGAATAGACATAAGAAGGAAGTACCTGAGTCGGGAAAAAGATGGCGATAACGGCTCAGCATATCGGACTCGGACTCCCAGGTCGATGCCTCAGCAGGCTAACATCTCCACTGAATAGTCCGCTTGGAGCATATCCTCCAAAATTTTAATAGTCCGCTCGGACTGCCCGTTTATATGAGGATGAAACGTTGTGCTCAACTCAATCCGTATGCCCAACTCTTACTGAACTGCTCTCCAGAAATGTGAGGTAAACTGCGTACCTCGGTCTAAAATGATAGACAAGGGCACACCATGAAGACGAACGATCTCCCTGATATAGATCTCAGCTAACCTCTCAGAAGAATAAGAGACTGCCACAGTAATGAAATGTTCCGACTTGGTCAGTCTAACAACAATAACCCACACTGCATCGAACTTCCTCTGAGTTTGTGGGAATCCAACAACAAAGTCCATAGTGATATGCTCCCACTTCCACTCAGGAATCTCGATCTTCAAGAACAACCACCAGGCCTCTGATGCTCGTACTTAACCTTCTGATAGTTCAAACACCGAGCCACATATGTAACAATGTCCTTCTTCATTCTCCTCCAACAATAATGCTACCACAAATCCTGATACACCTCAGAGGCGCCCCAGATGAATAGGGTACTGGGAACTATGGGCCTCCTCTAAAATCAACTCCCGGAGCCCATCCAAATTAGGCACACAAACTCGTCCCTACAGCCTCAAAACCCCATCATCTCCTAATGTAACTTTCTTGGCACCTCCGTGCTACACCGTGTCTCTAAGGACACACAAATGAGGATCATCATACTGCCGATCTTGGATACGCTTCAATAATGAACAACGAGTGACTGTGCAACCTAATACACAGCTGGGCTCAGAAACATCCAACCTCACGAACTGATTGGCCAAGGCCTGAACATCCAACACAAGCGGTCTCTCACCGACCGGAATATAAGCAAGATTGCCCATACTGGCTGACTTCCTACTCAAAGCATCAGCCACCACGTTGGCCTTTCCCGGATGATATAAGATGGTGATATCATAGTCTTTCAACAACTCCAACCACCTTCTCTGCCTCAAATTTAGCTCCTTATGCTTGAACAAGTACTGCAGACTCTTGTGATCCGTGAACACCTCACATAACACGCCGTATAGGTAATGCCTCCAAATCTTCAACGCGTGGACAATGGCTGGTAACTCCAAATCATGAATCGGATATTTCTTCTCATGAATCTTCAACTGCCGCGAAGCATAAGCAATGACCTTGCCCCCTGCATCAACACCGCACCAAGTCCAATACGAGATGCATTACAATAAATCTTATAAGGCCCTGAACCTGTGGGCAAAACCAACACTGGCGCCGTAGTTAAAGCTATCTTGAGCTTATGAAAGCTCGCCTCACACTCCTCCGACCACCTGAACTGGGCACCCTTCTAGGTCAACCTGGTCATCGGGGCTGCAATAGATGAAAAACCTTCCACAAACCGACGATAATAGCCTGCCAAACCCAAAAAACTCCAGATCTCTGTAGCTAATATGGGTCTAGGCCAGTTCTTGACTGCCTCTATCTTCTTCAGATCAACCTGAATACCCTTTGCTGATACAATATAACCCAGGAATGCAATTGAATTCAATCAGAACTTGCACTTCAAAAACTTGGCATACAACTGACTGTCCCTCAAAGTCTGAAGAACCACTCTAAGATGCTTTTCGTTCTCTTGCCAGCTGCGGGAATAGATCAAAATATCATCAATGAAAACTATCACTAACGAATCCAAGTAAGGCCTGAACACTCGGTTCATCAAATCCATAAAAGCTGCTAGGGCATTTGTCAACCCAAATGACATCACCAAGAACTCATAATGCCTGTACCGAGTGCGGAAAGCTGTCTTAGGGACATCAGATGCCCTAATCCTAAGCTGAAGGTAGCCATATCTCAAGTCAATCTTTGAAAATACCTTGGCACCCTGAAGCTGGTCAAACAAATCATCAATCCTCGGCAATGGATACTTATTCTTGATTGTAACCTTGTTCAGTTGCCGGTAATCTATACACATTCTCATCGATCCGTCTTTCTTCTTGACAAACAACACCGGCGCACCCTAAGGCGAGACACTAGGTCTAATGAAGGCTTTTTCAAGCAAGTCTTGCAACTGCTTCTTCAACTCTTTTAACTCAGGCAGGGTCATATGATACGGCAGAATAGAAATGGGCTGAGTGCCTGGAGCCAAATCAATGCAGAAGTCAATATCCCTGTCAGGTGGCATACCCGGCAGGTCTGAAGGAAATACCTCAGAAAACTCACGAACAATAGGCACAGAATCAATAGAAGGAACCTCCGCACTAGAATCACGAACATATGCCAAATAGGCTAAACACCCCTTCTCGACCATACGCCGAGCCTTCATATATGAGATAACACTACGGGTAAAATGACCAGGAGTCCCTCTCCACTCTAAATGAGGTACACTCAGCAAGGCTAAGGTCACAATCTTGGCATGACAGTCCAAGAGAGCATGGTAAGGTGATAACCAATCCATCCCAAATATGACATCAAAATCAACCATGTCCAGAAGTAACAAATCTACACGAGTCTCAAGACCCCCAATCACAATTATACATGAACGATGGACTCGATCTACCATAATAGAATCACCCACCAGTGTAGACACATATATAGGAGCGCTCAAAGAATCACTAGGCATGACCAAATACAGTGCAAAATAGGAACACATATAGGAGTAGGTAGACCTTGGATCAAATAGAACTGAAACATCTCTACTGCAAACCAGAACGGTACCTGTGATAACTGCATCGGAAGCCTCAGCCTCAGGCCTGGCTGGAAAAGCATAACATCGGGGCTGGGCCCCACCACCCTGAACTACATCACTGGGATGACCTGCTGCTGGCTGGCCTACACCTCTAGTTGTCTGACCTCCACCTCTAATACCTCTACCTCCACCTCTAGCTGGCTGAGCGGGCGGTGGAACACCTGGTGCCTGAACCATAGCACGGGAACCCTGCTGCTGCGGCTGAATACCCAGTAATCTCGGACAAGCCCTCCGAATATGACCATACTCACCGCACTCAAAGCATCCCCCTAAGTGCTGCGGCTGAGGAAACTAAGACTGACCCTAGCGACCTGAATGACCACCCCAAAAACTCTAGAGCGGCGGTGCACTGATAGGAGCTGGTGGTGCAATGTAGGACTGCTGATCAGAATATTGCATATGAGAACCACAGCCACCTGAAGCACCGTGAGAAACCTGATGTGCTGACTGAAAAAGCCTAAGAGGATGGCCTCTACCATATGAATCCCTACCTCTAGATGAGGCACCACTAAATCTACCTGAATGACGAGGCCTCTTATCAGACCCCTGACCACCCCCCTGCGATAGAACCATCTCAACTCTCCTGGCCACATTGGCCGCCTCCTGAAAAGAAATCTCACTCCCCGTCTCCTTAGCCATCAGAAGTCAAATAGGCTGAATGAGTCCCTCAATGAATCTCCTCACCCCCTCTCTCTCTCTCGGTGGGAAGTATGATAAGAGCATGACGGGCCAAGTCGATGAATTTGGTCTCGTAGTGAGTAACAGTCATAGAACCCTATTGGAGACGCTCAAACTGCCTCCGATAGATCTCCCTCTGAGTGATAGGGAGAAACTTCTCCAGAAATAGCTGAGTAAACTGATCCCAAGTCAAAGCTGGTGATCCGACTAGTCTAGCTAAACAATAATCTCTCCACCAAGTCTTGGCGGATCTAGACAAGCAGAAAGTAGGAAAGTCGACCCATTGGTCTTCACTATCCCCATGTTCCTGAGAACCTCATGGCAGCTGTCCAAATAATCCTGGGGATCCTCAGAAGATGCACCGCTGAAAGTGGTAGTGAAGAGCTTGGTGAACCTGTCCAATCTCCACAAGGCATCGACAGACATAGCTGCTCCATCACCGGTCTGAGCTACCACACCCGGCTGAACTCCCCTAACTAGTTGAGCTGCTGGAGTTTGGAACTAGGGAGCTATCTGCTCCTGAATGCGAGTAGCAGGAGTGTGGGCTCCTCCTCCAACTTGAGAGACGGCTGGTGCTATAGGAAGCAAGCCTGCTTGGGTGACGCTCTCCATAAGTCCCACTAGATGGACCAGAGCATCCTGTAGTATTGGGGTAGCAATGAACCCCTCTGGGACCTGATCTGGGCCCACCGAAACTGCCTGGGCCAGAACCTCATCATCAAACTCAACCTAAGGCTCCACCGCTGGTGCTACTGCTTTGGGCTGAGCTTTGCCCCTACCTCGACCTCTAGCATGGCCTCGGCCTTGCCCTCTACCCATCGTAGGAGCTGCTGCTGGGGGCTCGGGCTACTGATCAGTGGATAAGGATGTGCGTGTTCTCGCCATCTGTGAAAGAACAAAGTAGAAATTCAATTAGCATTGAGAAACCAAGCCGAACGATAGGAAAGAATAGATGTGAAACCTATGTAACCTAGATCTCTGATACCAACTTGTCACGACCTAGATTTCCCACCCTCAGGAGCCGTGATGGCGCCTACTAGTGAAAGCTAGACAAGCCAATCATTTGAATTATTTACTTTTTTTTCCATTTTAGTCCTTTTACAAGTAATAGCCAATAATTGATAAACAACGGAAATCTAATAAGCGGAAGACTGAAATGAAATAATTTAAGAAAGATGTCAATATCAATCCATACAAAAAACTACCCAAGACTGGTGTCACAATTCCACAGACTGTCTAGGAATACTACAAATTAAAGTCTGAAAGATTTATTACAACATTGTCTCTGAAATATATAAAAGAAATAGACTAAAAGGGTAGGAGAAGATGCCAAGTCCTGCGGACGCCTGCAGGACTACCTCGAAATCTCCGGCTGGATTGAAGGTAGCCACCCAAAGCTACGGTTCGAAAGCTGCTGCTCTGGGATCTGCACACAATGCAGACTGTAGTATCAGCATAACCGACCCCATGTGCTGGTAAGTGCCTAGCCTAACCCCGGTGAAGTAGTGACGAGGCTAGGACCAGACTACCAAATAAACCTGTGCAATTATATCATATACAGAGGAAAATAAAAGCAAAAACGTATAGTTAAGGATGGAGGGAGGATCATGCTGCGGGGGAATATCATTTACCAAGAACAATTTAAATATTCGCAGCAGAAAGAATAAGGAAACCGTAACAAATCAATAACCACTTTTATCTTTTATTATTGCGGCGCGCAACTCGATCCTAATCATAAAAAAACACTGTTGTGGCGTGCAACTCGATCCATACCATATATCACTATTGCGGCGTGCAACCCTATCCAAATATAATATTGTTACGGCATGCAACTCGATCTAACTATAATATTATTGCGGCGTGTAACCCGATCCAAATATAATATTGTTGCGACATGCAACCTGATCCAAATATAGTATTGTTGCGGCATGTAACCCGATCCCAATATACAATTCAACACCAATCACAAAAGAGTCCAAATAAGGGAACAATAAGGGAAATACAATATCCCGGCAAGGGAATCGACAGTAAAAAGTAAATGCGACGCGGCAAGGGAATCAGCTATAACCAAACTTGTTCCAATATTTAACTTCACAAAAAAAAACCTCAACTAGCACCAATACTCAACCATAAGCAATTTCCACGAGAATAATCATAATTATTTCCCAACACAAAGAATCAACAACTTAGGCATTTGTAGTACTTATTAAGAACACAACGACTTCAATTTAAGACTCATGGACATGCTTGACAACGACGTATAGATACTCATCACCATGCCTATATGTCGTACTCAACAAATAACACATAGCATATAGGACTCGACTCCTAATCCCTCAAGCTAAGGTTAGACCAAACACTTACCTCGATGCCACGAGCACAATTTAAGCCTCAACTACCGCTTTACCTCTTTATTCCACCACCAATTTGCTTGTATCTAGCCACAAGTTACTAAACTATATCAATAAAAGCTAAATAAATCAATTCCAATGCATGAAAATAGGTTTTCTAAAGTTTTTCCCAAAAAGTCAAAAATCGCCCCCAGGCCCACATGGTCAAAACACGACGTTCGAACCAAAATTAGATTACCCATTCCCCCACGAACCCAAATATATAATTTGTTTTGAAATCGAACCTCAAATCGAGGTCTAAATCTCCAAATTTGAAAAACCTAGGTTCTACCCAAAATACCCAATTTCGCCCATGAAAATCCTTGATTTTGAGTTGAAATCATAAAAAAGGATGTTAAAAATTGATGAAACCAAGTTAGAAATGACTTACAATCGATTTGGAAGAATACTTGTCTTTGAAAAATCGGCCAAGAGTGTTTTGGTTTTGAAAGGGTTTGAAAATGAGAAAAATCCGTCTAAGTTATGATTTTGCAGGTTACAGGTGTCGCAATTGCGACTAGGGTTCGCAATTACGAACCCCTCAGACTGCTAACTTCGCATTTGCGAACAAGGGTTTGCATTTGCGAACTCTGAGGAATCCAGGCCTCTTCGCATTTGCGACAAATACTTCGCATTTGCGATCAAGGCACCCCAGGACACTATTCGCATTTGCGACATATTTCTCGCATTTGCGAGCCAGGCTTCGCAATTGTGAAGCTTGCAGGCCTGCAACACACCAGAAATTCCTAAGTCCAAATTTCACTCCGTGGCCTATCCAAAACTCACCCGAGCCCTCGGGGCTCCAAATCAAACATGCACACTAGCTCAAAAATATCATACAGACATGCTCGTGCGATCACATCCTCAAAATAACATTAATAGCTATGAATTTACCACCAAAATCAAAGGAAATCTCATGAACTTTCAAAGTTTCAAATTTTACAACTAAGGTTCCGAATCACGCCATTTCAAGTCCGTTTCTTACCAAATTTTACAGACTCGACTTAAATCATATATAAGACCTATACCGGGCTCTGAAACCAAAATACGGGCCCGATACCATTAACTTCCAAACATTTTCCAAAAACTCATATATATTCCAGAAAACAATTTTTCTTTAAAAATTTATTTTTCGGGCTTGAGACCTCAAAATTCGATTCCAGGCATACGCCCAGGTCCCATATTTTCCTACGGACCCTTCGGGATCGTCAAATCACGGGTCCGAGTCCGTTTACCCAAAATGTTGACCGAAATCAATTTAAATTTATTTTAAAGGCAAATTTTATCATTTTTCACAGATTTTCACATAATGGCTTCCCGGTTACGCGCCCGAACTGTGCACGCAAATTGAGGTGATATAGAAAGAAGTTTTTAAAGCTTCGGAATACAGAATTTATTTCTAAAACAAGCGATAACCTTTTGGGTCATCCCATCACTTGGGATATTTGTTATGGTGTCCCAAGTCACCGGTTTATTTTAAATTCCAAATCGGGGAAATTTGACTTTGTTTAAATTTTGCGAAAACTAGAAGACCGGGTAAGGAATTATGTTAACCCGGGAGAAGGTGTTAGGCACTTCCGGGTTCGGTGATTTTAGCACGGTCTCTTTAATCACCTGACTTAATTAAATTGTTTAATTACTCATTTTAGAAGCTATATACATTTTACCTTTTACGGCTTTTTTTATTATGGCGTTATGGATTTGATATTTTACAAGGATTATATGTGTGTAAATCCGCTTTATTTGGGGAGCTAAAATCATGGCACACAAACGTGTGTACAATTAATTGCGCTTTATTAATTATTAATATTGTTTGGCCAAAGTCGCGCGAACGCGTACCTTGATTTATTTTAGAAATCATAATTATGTCATGCGAACGTGTACACAATCACAATAATAGATTAATTAAGAGCGCGCTAAAAACATTCCAATTGTATTCATTATTCTTCCTAAACTTTGAGATTATTGTGAGGCCATAAGAGTATGGAAGATTGTTGTGGATGAAGTATACTAATTGATCAATATAAATTAATATCGAGAGGAACTATTACAGTATTTGTGGTTTCGAAGTTATGAGGCATTTACCTATTATGAAAAAATGGGCCAACTTTTATAAAAATAGTAGAATTATTGGGCCGACAAACTAAACTCATCGGGCCTAAATCTCATTTCCACTTTAGAATTACGCCACAGCCCAACAAACAATATTAAAGCAACTCAACACCCACAGCCTAATCTTGTTTGTATGCTACCATTGAAGCTAAACAAATGAAATTAAAATTGGGCTCAAGAGAGGAGTCTGTAATTTTCTATGCATAAACACACAATGTGGCCATCACAACCAGTTGAGGTATCACACAAACAAAATGGCATAGAGCATAGTAGATGCTGCCAACATTTCAGATTAATCTTAAACTAAAAAAATATCGACTGCTAATAAAATCAACAGATAGTGAATCTTAAAGCTCACATTAACATCTTTGAGTTATGACTTCATAGCAAAAATTAGATTCGACACTAATGAGACAGCTTTAACACAAAATTTGAACAGAGCAAACACCACACAAGGCATCTAAATCAATACATGGGTGAATCAGTGCTCATTTTCATTGAAGAATATTCAAATACAACAAGAGTTTTATGTGTTTACCTTTATGCCAGAAGAATGCAAATAGGGAATGTCAGGCAAAGGCTAAGCACGAAGGCTTGAGCTCAGCTAAGAATTCAACAGAATAACAATTGCAAATAGCACTTCTCACAGCTCTAGGATCACTCGAACTCCCAGGAAAATGAAGTAGAATGGTAGAAGTTGAGCTAATTGTGAAATCCTCTTTTGTTCATGCATTTGTTTCCCATTTCTTAAGCTTTTTGTTTCTAAATCTGAGGTTCAATCTCCTTGAATTCAAAGGATTGTTTTCGGCTTTTGTAAAAGTGAGCCATATATGAATGAGGAATGGAGAGTGAATTTGTGCATGTGAGTGTCTATGAATTCAGAGAGAGATGAGACGAGAACAACGCGTGTGAGGAATTTGAGAGCATTTCTTAATTGGGCAGCTAGGTTTTTTTTGCTAAGAGGAAGGAGTGTTCTATTAGGAGAAGATGAGGGAATAAGGGGGAAGCGGCTAGGTTTTAGGTTAAGGGGAGGAGATCTGATCTGTGTGAGACTGAGCTGAGGAAGGAGAAGGGGTGGCAGCTGCTCTTGAGAAGATGAAGGGATTAGGGCTTTTTTTTTTTTTTCAAAAAGAGGGGTTGTCTCAGCCGTTTTCACACACAGAGAGAAAGTTAGAAGATGGCTAGGGTTAGGTATTTGGGGAAGGGACCGATTCTGATAGGGTAGGAAAATAATTTGGTTTTAATGAGGGGAAATGGGATTAGGCCAGGCGGGTCATGGGGAATGAGCTTGGGCAGATTCTTGTAGAGTTTTGGGCTGTTGTAATTAATTTGGCCCAATCTAGCTAATAAATCTTAAATAGCCATGCTTCTCTTTTTTAAATTTCGTTATTACCCACCAAATAAACTAACATAATAGGTAAACTAACATTGCAAAATTAACGTTTTTACTACTTTATCTATCAATTAATTAATTAATTACCTTAACAATATAAACTAAATAAAAAGAAATTATTAATTTAAAAGAAAAAGCTAAAAGTGTAAACATGACTAGGGTATGTTTTGTGATTTTCATTTATTAATTATGCAATTAATATATGATTTAATACTAAAATACAATTAAAATCGAAAATGTATGCAATGAAGAATTGAACATTTTATGGTATTTTTTTTATGATTTTACTATGTTAAATATGCAAAAAGATGCAACTAAATGCAAGCAAACAATTAAAAAAAATCCTAAAATTCTATAAAAATAAAAAAATAATTGGAAAGATTTATTTTCTGTGGATTTTGTAGGAATATTTTCGTAGGGCAAAAATTAGGTGCTCACAACTGCACCTCTTTACTCGGAAAATGAAGAGTTTTCAGGCAAATACAAAGTGAGCAATGATGAACAATTTTTGCCCATTCGAATACTCAATGAGAAGCATTTTTGAAAGAGTTTGACTGAACCTTGCTTCGGAGGTTACCTACATATCCTTGGCTATAAAGGAATTAGGTCAGTGTAGCTCTGGAAGTTTTGGTAGCTGGGACTACGGAATAGCTATGATTTCACTGTTGTTGCTACTATTGCTGCTTGTTGAGCTCCTTATTACACCAAAATCAAAATGAAAAGAAACTAAACAAGCCTATCAGCTATGAGTTACAAGGTTCCTATCTTTAAGTCTTCTGAAACTTGATCTTGAGTCTTGGCTGGTTCTTCATGTAGACTCTAATCTGAACCTTGATGCTTGCTAGCTGCAGGTACTAGTTCATTCTTCTTTGGCTTTTCTGGATCAAGACGGGACATGCAAAGCTTGAGACTTCAGTCATGTCTCGAGCAGTCCTCATCTTTTCTCCACTTATGCACTTTGGATTCACTTCTTTTCTTTTCTTTATTTTGGTTTGAGACTTTTTTTTTGGTCATCTCGAACCCATGAGCTTCGAGGTAAAAATTTGCTAGACACCAAAACAAACAAACGAACGGAATTTTTCTGCCCCAGTTTTTACTAGGAAACTTTTGTGAGTTATTTGTAAAAACAACTCTATACTACTTCATTATTTAAGCAATAAAAGTAAGGATTGATGTACCCTGAGAAAATAAAGACTAGGGAGTGGAGACCCTATGTCTAAAATGAAAGAAACTAGGAAATGGAGACCCTATGTTGGAAAAGATACTAGGGAGTGAAAATCTTATGTCAAAAAATTAAATCAACTAGGTATTGGATAACCTATGTTAGAAAAAAGACTAGGGAGTGGAAACCCTATGTCTAAAATAAAATCAACTAGGGATTGGAGACCCTATGTTGGAAAAGAGATTAGGAAGTGGAGACCATATATTGGAAAACGACTAGGGAGTGAAGACCCTATGTCTAAAAAAATATCGACTAGGACCCTATGTCTAAAAAAATATCAACTAGGGAGTGGAGACCCTATGTTGGAAAAGGGACTAGGGATTGGAAACCCTATGTCTGAAAAAGCGACTAGGGAGTGTGGATCCTATGTCTAAAAATAAAATCAAGTAGGGAGTAGAGACCCAATGTTGGAAAAGCGACTAGAGAGTGGAGCCCCTATGTCTAAAAATAAAATCAACTAGGGAGTGAAGACCCTATGTTGGAAAAGCGACTAGTGAGTGGAGCCCCTATGTCTAAAAATAAAATCAACTAGGGAGTGAAGACCCTATGTTGGAAAAGCGACTAGTGAGTGGAGCCCCTATGTCTAAAAATAAAATCAACTAGGGAATGAATACCCTATGTTGGAAAAGTAGACTAGAGAGTAGAGACCCTATGTCTAAAATAACTATCAACTAGGGAGTGGAGATCCTATGTTGGAAAAGAGAGTAGAGAGTGGAGACTCTATGTCTAAAACAAAATTAACTAGGGAGTGGAGACCCTATGTTGGAAAAGCGACTAGGAAGTGGAGACCCTATGTCTAAAATAAATTCAACTAGGGAGTGGAGGCCCTATGTTGGAAAATGCAGTTAGGGATTGGAGAGACTATACTACATTGATTTTGAATTTTCTTTCTTTTCTTTTTCATTTATTTAAGAGAATGAGTAAAAGGCAGGAAAGAATTTGGAGAAAACTTCCCTTTTTGGGGTTGTTGCTGCAAAGCTATTTTAGTCTCCATGCAGTTTCTTTTGGTTGCACCTGCTTTTTGCAAGGTTGCTTTGAATTCAACCTGTTTTCCTATTTTTCAAACAAAGAACAATTGTCAGTTTGAAACGGTGGTTGCCTTGAGTGTTTCAGTCACTTGATCTTGGCCGGCTTCTTTGATGATGATTTCAACTGCAACTAGTTGTTTCCTAGAGACCGATTTCATTTTTGGCCCCGGATAAACCTTGGCTCTTCCAAAACTTTATCATGACGGTTGGTCGCGTGGGACTTAACCTTTTTCAGCTTCATTTTGCCTTTGTAGACTTTTCACTTCTTTCATCTAAATTTAACTTCAGAGCATTGGGGAACCTTTGGCTTTTCAAACTTTGCCAAGACGGTTAGCCACGTGGGACTCAACCTTTTCAACTTCTTATTGGCATATCAATTTGATTCTCCTTCCAAGAGTTTTGATTTTGAAGCATCAGCCGTCATGGCCAGTCGGGGTCGACTTGAAACCCCTGACGAGGCTGGATGCTCCCCTTTTCCTTTTTTTTGCACAATAACTTGGATCAAGCGAAAGCCCTGTAAATCGGTCTTGCCATCCCTTCTTCGCCTTAGTTTTGGAAAAGAGTTATACCGAAAGTAATTCAAGGAAAAACAATTAATAGAATGGATAGCAGATTTAGACAAAAGGTATCCCTTTCGGGAAAAGGAAGGAATGACTTATCCGAAATACATGCAGACTTTAATGAACATGACATGCATTTTGGACTGGATACCTGATCTATGTAAACCGTCTAACTCTCAAAAATTCATCATAATTTTGCCTCGAAATCGAGAAAACGTGCACAAGGTTGTGTCGATATGAATGGCTGTGAGGATCCTCTTTTTGGAACCTTTCAGGCAAAACTATCGTCGAACCATTATAACATCTTCCCCAGTTTCACTTTTGGGGGAATTTGAATTCTTGTTTTGGTGTGACTGAACCTTAGAGAGAGGCTTCCTATGTATCCTTTCGGAATCAAGTCAAAAGTAGTTCAAGGAACTTTATTTTTATTTTCTTTTCTTCTGCCTTTTCTCCTGTTTTGTTTTGTTTTTTCTTTCTTTTTTCCTTTCCTTTGTCCTCTTTTTTTTCATTTTTCATTTCGTTTTCTTTTGTCTTTTCTTCCTCTTTTTTTTGTATTTTTCTTTTTCTTCTCTTTTTTATTTTATTTTTCATTTTTCATTCATCTTTTTCAATAATAACTTCCAGGTTCCAAAGAGGGTAATCAAAGAATGGGAGCCGGCTCAAAGGGGTTGCAAAGGGTTGAATATTTGGATAGTGAGAAAGAAAGTCTTCTTCATCCCAACAGAAGAACATTAATTCTATATAGAGGATCCAACAGAGTATCTTTTGACTGCATTTGCATTGACATTTGTTTCAGGGACATTTTCTTCGATGTGTCCCAAGTACAACGTACTCTTTTGGCAGTACTCTTGTTGCAACATATGGACATTTTCCAATCTGGAACCAATATTCCTTTAGTTGTTCCGAGTCTTTATTTTATTTCCTTAAACTTATCTTCATTTCAGTCTGATTCTTGATTCATTATTTCGAAGTCTGACAGCATTTTAGGATTTGGGCATGAAGTTCGCAAGCATGTCATGTTATTAAAATCTACGTTTAACAGAACTGAAAAGGGAATAAGAAAAGTGACAAGACTAAGAAAAGAGACATTCCTAGAAAATAAAATATTTATTTTATTTTATTTTATTTTTTTTTGAATTTTAAAGATAGAAGGTTTACATCGGAAAGTAAGACAATAAAGTAAAATATCCGGATCATACCCTGAGATAATCTGGACGTAGAAAGGATAGCAAGACTGGCTACCGAGACTCCCGTCTGATGGAGAACTTTTAGGCTTGGAGACTATTTTTTGGCTTTTCCTCTGTATCGGCAATGGATGCAATGACCTTCAATGCCAGATCAAATTCCCCGTCTTTACAAACCATTCCTACTATTGGCCCAGTGTTGTGAGCAGGCAATGAATTGTTCATCACACCAGGAGCCTCTTCGTCTCGAAGAATGATTCTTTCAGCTTCAATCAAGTCTTCAACTACCCTTTTGACGGTCCAACAGTTAGGGGTGGGATGAATTTTATTGATTTAGCATATCAGTTATTGGTTTACAAATTAGATAAACTGATAACCGAACCGATAAGATATCGGTTATCGGTTAATCGATTCTTGATCATTATAAGTTTGGTTATCAGTTTAACCGATAAGATACCTCAATCTAGAGTTAAGAAAAAAAGAGAAGACAATTAACTGGAGTTAAGCAAAAAAGAAAAGAATTCACATACATTCTCTCCAATGGCCATAACTGGAATAGTACTAATTCTTCAACAACAGTTGTCCAAATACATTAATAATAATAATACAAAGTAGTAGCAATTTCACCTTAAAATTAATAAGTCTAAACATATAGTACTAACAGTCTAAGATAAACTGGATTGTTGTTTGTCAAATGCCTAACCTGAAAAAAGAAACCATAGAGCAAAACCTTGATCTATGCATGGGCAATACTAACACAGAAATGAAAAATACCTAGAAGGCAAGAAAATATTGTCCTGTTGTCAAAGCTCA